TGCGTTTCTATCAGTCTTCCTACCATTATGACCAAGTTGCGAAAACAAGGTCAAACAACTTCTATTTTTGGTCTACTTATAACCCATTTTGCCTTGCTATATGATACCATTTTCTACGTGATGAAATTTCATTCACCTTTCTGATTGAGTTATTTTGAAAGAAGGGACTTGACTTTAATGAAATCTCGATTAAATAAAATAAGCGCTCATTTCGCTTTTTCGTACAAGTTGAATTTTACCCCAGTTATATCAGTTGGCCTTACTATTTCGTTGGATTGCACTTTTCCTTACTTCCAAAAGGGTCTTCTTAGCCAAGTTGAACTGGACTGCAGTTTCGACTCCACCCAGGTCTCAGCGCTCCGAATGACACTCGAACCCTGGTAGTGCAGTGTTTAATCTCGATACTTTGCTAGCACGCTGCACTGCCACGAGCGCCCCTGGGACACAGGGCATACATGAATTTCAAGAAAGGATAAGCCTCATATCACACTTTATAATGGTGTTATTGATCATGCAAACTTGTATTTCTTGCCATTACAATAGACTACGTTACTCATATTCAGATCTATCTAATGTTATATGACAAGTGTAGGTAAGAACTTGAGTCACTTTGTGTCACTAGGTAGATTAAGGACTAGTAGCAGAATTTATTACAATATACTGGCCCATATTGCGTCAATAAATTTCACTTGGTCCTACTTCCCTAGGTTTTTATCATCTAGGATGGTCCTCGATTTCAACCACATTTCTGTTTCAGCAGCCCAAATAGATCGTGCACGTAATGGAGCAACACGTTAAAATTCCTCTACACTACCAAGGCTGCCAGCGAATCACAGGGCAAAAACGATAATCAAGACAAGCCTGGCCTTTTCTGATTGTTAACGAGGCAATCTTTTATTTGTTAGTACAATCGACCATATTATTATATTCTGAAAGAATTGGCTTTTAAGCTCTCACTAAAACTTGAATTTCAATGGAATCGTGAGGCTTTCTCATTGGGGTGTGTGAAATTCTTCTACCAGTTCTTGTATCACCTTTAGCGACCAAGGCTGATTCAAGTTCTTTTTCAGCATTATATTATTCCTGGTACAAACTGTATAATTATTATTTTATATATTATATAATCATTAATCTTTATTTTGTTTTAGAGTCTGAATACGGCTGTCTATCCTGTCGTTCAAAATCTTGTAGAATCCCTTCGAACTGGTTTCCTTCAATTGTAATCTAAAGGCCTTCTGAATATATTCTCCTCTGGAGGGAATGCTTATTTTCTATCCCTCTTTTTTTCAAATGCTCCTGTTCCCTAAATTATGAATCACTCGCCAGGAATCCGGCGATCTACCTTTCATTTGTCCCTATTTCCCATGTATAACCTATGGACTCTCTTCATCTCCGTTTCCTTATATATATACAATGCCATATTATATCTGTATGCGTGCTTGTACATATGAAAATGATTGTTTGTAATAAACTATCTAATTACTCTGTTATAATCTTAAATGATTGTAAAATTTTCCTAGGGTGATTGCTTTTTTTCGTTTGAAATTTCCTTGTTTTCACTTCGAAATTTGTGCGTTTTATATAAAAAATACTGTTGTCTGACTCGCTCAATCTTTTAAATAATGATTTTTCTTTTTTGGGGAACACAGATACCCGGGTTAAACCATTATTGAGGTTTTACGTACTATTATGAATTTTACTGATTAAATAGACTTTTCTAGCTTAAATTGATGACCAGGTGATAAGTTTAGGCTATTTTTTTGACAACTGAGTTTATAAAAATAGCTACTTTTGTCGTATCCCATCTTAAGCTTATGTTGCTTCTCTGCTATCATCTACGATAAGTCTTGACAGGTACTTGAGTCTTGGCACAAGCCTAGTTGTTTTGTTTTAGCTAGAATAGTTTAAACGGGTTGAAAGAATGACATATATATATGGAAATACATTTAATTTAGTCAAGATTTACAATTAAGATAATGTGGATATTTTTTTATTTTTTCAACGGCTAATAGAAATTAAATCTCTTTTTGTCTATCATACTATCTTCCCAAAGTCACTCATCGTACTCAGTAATGTCATTGTCACCTGGCGAAGCTGCATTGCCGCTCAGAAAGATGCGCCAGGCCTGCTGGTCTGCCAAAGATGCATACACGGAATGCGTGGACAGCTTGCGTAAGGCCAAAGGCGATGAGTTTGAGAAGATTCCCACCTCTGAAATTGAACTTAAGCATTGCTTCTTGGAGCGTCGGGCATTTCTCGCCGCTTGCCCTCAGCAGTGGGTAAATCTACTTACCTAGTTTTTCATGATTTTCGGGCTATCCACATTACATCTAATGAAATTACGGTGTTTAATTAAAACGAGCTTTTATCTAGCTGAGTCGATAGAGCCGGGACTTTTAGACATCTCTTGTAATCAACTCATGGTATTCTTTAGTTGAAGTCTCGCTTCAAAATAAAATATGATAATAAAAAGGGTTAGAGTCAGGTGGAGAAGAAAAAGTTTTAAATCACAAGCAAAGGGTATTCAAAAGTTAAGGTAAATAATGTAATAAATTAAGAGGTCAGAAAATTTCTTGAACGCTGGAAACAGAAAATTATCAGCTTCGGGGTGAGATACGGGCTTTTACTACAAAATTAGCGTTCCAAGCTTGATGCCGTGACGCAAGGACGTAAATAGTCCTTTGTGAATGAAGATATTCAGATTAGTAGAGCTTGACAATGGATTCGTTGGTGCTGTGGCAGCCTGTCCTTTCTGGTTATCGGAAGAGTGTGATACTGGTGCGGCGCATGAGGAAGTGGGTCTTTTGGGCTCGGAATTACAGATTAGTTGTGTTGACTGGCTTTCATGGTCCTGAAGTCGAATTGAAGATACTAAAAGACAGGCGCTTGGTATTTAGAGTTTGCGAAATTGCGAGGCACTGAACTTTTTAAATTTGGTGGACATTCACACTACATTTATGGGCTTTCAATTTGAACAGAAAATGGCAGTAGATGATCCGCTGTTGTTTGATCAACCTGTATCATTCAAGCTGATGCCTTCGTCTGTTAACCTAACACTACGTTACAGCTGACTTTTACTAGCTGTCATTTACTGATGGTGCCGGCCAATCATAGTTACTGGCCCTATACTAGCAAAAGCCACGTAGGGGGTGCAGAGCGAAATACACTCTTTAACTCCCTCCCCATGATACACTGAAGTCAGGCCAGATTGGGCCAATGGAAACTTGTCAATTATAATGAAAATTTATTCTACTACTTGCACACGATACTTTCCAACTATTTAATGCATTGAACTTGTTTTCATTGTTCTTTGAGAGCCGAAATGGACAGGATACGGAGTGTCTCGATAATAAGGTTAATTGTCACTTGACCAATTATTCCACTTGAAATGTTTTCTACCGAGGATTCTTAATTTAGCCGCACTGGTGATCGATGAGTTATCATGGGGTTTTTACTGCAAAAGCCATTCCCCAACTCCGATTAGTCAGTGGGACATCACCAGAATGGTTATCACACCCCATGATATAAATATTACTTACATACAATGGACAATATCACATATTAAATCATGAACCAACATTAATGAATGGCACATTAGTTTATTTACTTCTGTAAAGAAATAGCTGCCACTGCATTCGCTTCTTCTTGATGAATTAACTTCATTTACCTCCAAGCATGTAAGGGAGGCTGTAGACATCCCCTTTTAAAGAAACCTAATGAACAAGAGATTAGAAGAGGGAAAAGTCAATAATAATTTCGCGCACTGCCTGGGCAGACTTGGAGATTTAGCATAAATATGAAAAAGAAGAGGCTAAGGCCCATTAAAACTGCTCAAAAATAGGTAGAGACATCGCCGAGGATCGGCTCACGAGGCCAAATTGAAGTGAAGAAACGACGATAGCAATAAAAGGACTCAAACACCGAAAATTTAGCGACGTGGTTACATCTGTGGAACGTGAAATAGAGGATCGAAAGCCAGGAATAGTCAAATTATGCTCGATTAGAGATGTTAGGCTAAAGGTATGCGCCGGGGATAGGTCCTTAATGTGTGTGTGTGCCTATGAACATTTTTGAGTTTGTACCTTAGTGAGAGGTGACTGATGACATAACTGACAGAAAAAGAGGGGATACCAGCCAATGTAGGCATAAACAACTGACTAGTACCATAGCCTCACATGAGTGTGCTTTACGCGATTTAGAATTGAAAAAGGTAAGTGGTAGATTTTCACACTGATGCATACTTCGAAAGTCTAACTTCCCCTCCTCAACCTCAATGTAAATCTTTTTTCCCTTTATTTTCGATTAGGTTAAGCACTTTGATCGGCAATTGTCTATACTGATGTTCCGATATTCCCGAGAAGAAATGAAATCCGAAGGCAATTGATCTACGCCAACATACAGCTTTTCCTTACGACTTTTTCCATTATGTATTCGGTGACTTAGTCATCGTAACTGACTTATTAAATATACCCATACATACAATCCTCAATAGCTTAAAGGATCAAGCTAAATTTGCTTGTCAAAAGAGAATTTAATTAGCATTAAAAGGCAATACGCAATCCTACTGATAATTCGTGAACCAATTAGCTTTAGAATCTGGAAAAACGAGGATTTCACTTCATATCAGTAATTTATATGTTCATGAGAATATTATTCCGAAAGTACAAATTTGTTGGCTAGGCGATGAGTCTTGATCTCAATATTACCAAGCATAGTAAATTACAATTTAGACTTGGAATTTATTTCTACTTTGTGGAGAGGCTCAAAAAGTCGAATTTCCAAGAAAATCAACTGGACGACTACGACAGAAAATAATACTCACCAGAATTCCGTGATGACATAACCAATGAGCATTATGACAACGAGCTATAATGCTTGATAAATACTACCAGGCTATAATAAACGGGTACACCAAATAACTAATGGAGAGACGGACTGAGGCTATGTACATTATGAAGACTGTAAATTAAACTTCGGAAATGATGCTTGAAGCCGTACTTTTATTAATTTCCACTCGCCGTATTGTTATTTTCGTTGCAAAAATAGTAAAGATTTACACCAATGTGGATATTGTAGCAAAGGTACATTGGGTATCGATATTCGCTCAGCCCTCACATGTATAGCTAGATTTACAAATCGCACTTTTTAGGGAAACCCGAGTAGCCGACAGTTACAAGTTATTTTCGTACTTGAGTAGTTTCGAGACTACCAGTAAATCAGTAATATGAGAAGTATTCACTCTATTTCGTTTAAGATGATGAAGGACTGGTAGTCGAATTTTCCCGCACTGATATGAGTAGAGCTGACGTTTCCATTGAATTTCACATTGACTTGCTCTCCCAAAAGTTGTTCTCATCCAGAATGGACTGCAGTTTCGACCTCGCATCTTATCAACACCCCCAGCGGGAGTCGAACCGCGACAGTGCAGAATGGGAGCTTGACACGTTAGCCACTCGGCCACATTGCCACGAGTGCTCTTGGATCACAGGGCATAAGTGAATTTAAAGGAAGGTCAGGCCTTTTGCCATATCATATTCTTTGGTGGGTTTTCCGATAAAGCAAACGTATATTTGCTAATATAATCGACTACGTTACTTATTTTTGTATTTAAGTAGAGTCTCGAGACTACCAGTAAATCAGTAATATGAGAGGTAACAAGTTAGCTTGGGAGCTTCAAAAAACCATATTTTAGCATTAGAAAAGTTGGCAGGTTTCAGGGCGACTAAATGGTTCTTACTCACAATAAGTAGATTTCGGGCTAGTTTTTATTTATCCGTAGAAGACAGTTTAAAATTCTTTTCTGATATTACCGATGGGATAAGCTTCTACGAGTCAATGCAAAATTATTCATGCCAAAATCCTCTCATTAAGTATTCTGTATTCGAAAAGTTGGGTATTTGTGACTAAATAGGTAAGCATACTATCAGAAGAATTTACGCCAGAGGACTTCGCAGTAACTTCTTAAGAATCAAAGTAAAAACAAAACAATAAGAGTAAAACAACTTAATGGTGAAAAGAGTCACGCCACCATACATGTCTCATTTACATTATAAAACATGAAAGACGTTTATTGTGAGCGAACGCAGAAATAATGACATCAACCCGTCTGAAAAAGGAGGCGAATCTAAAACAAAAGATGAATATTTATAGTAAATGGATGAACAGAAAAGGGAAAAATTAAGAGTTGATGAAGAAGCTACTTCTTTTTCTGTTCAGAACAGTATATACTAGAGACTTTGAATTAGCAAAGATTGTAAGTTCTTTGCCGGAAAAATCAGTTTACAGTGTAAAGTACTATACTGATAAACTTATAAAATAAGAAGTAGGTTGACCTCGTTGTCGCAACCTGGTCTTGTTTTCAGGTAGACTATGTAGAACGTACCTAGTCCGAAGTCATCTGTCATAGTAGTTGTCATGATTCCCAGCATCTGACAGTGGACTTGATACATTCTCAAACGTTTCGC